GAAACCCCAAAAAAAAAAAATCACCACCTCCTCCATTGCACCAAATCCCCACATCCTTCGTCCAAAAAACAAAAACCCCCATATCCAGCCTCCTCCATATCCCAACCTGTTATCCCAAATCAACACCCACAACAGCCAACCCAAACCTTGATATGCCAGGAACCTCACCCACTGCCCGTCTAATCTCCACCACCAAAGACCAAAATTGGATGGTGGTTAGTAAAGGCCAAATGAGCGGGTTGGGTGGGCTTAATGGTTGTCTGGGTTTGCTTGGAGGGGAGGGGAGGTGGAGTTTAGGTTGGTTGCTGTCAAATAAAGAGAACATGGAAGAGAGACAAAAAGGGAGAGAAAAGGAGGAGGGCGGGGCAGTGGTGCGGAGGGTGGGTGAGGATAGGTGCGGCTGTTGGAGGTGTGAGAGGGAGAGAGAGAGGAGATGTGGGTGGGAGCGAGGAGAAAAATGGGGGAAGGAAGAATGGTGGGGGTTGGGGTTTAGTGCGATGGAGAAGATGATGGTGATTTTGTGTTTTTTGTTTTTAATATATTTTCTTTTCTTTTAAGTTTTTTTAAATTTTTTATAAGTTTCAAATGTTTATTTTATTTAATCCACGTGGCGTCATATTATTGGATATGTGGGACCATATATGTGCCACATCATCAACTTAACAGACTTTTTAACGAAATCTGACGGCAAGAACTATTTGTGAAGACACTTATTAACCTTAAGGACCATAAATGACAAAAAAAAAAAAAACATAAAGGACGCAATGTGATAGTTTCGCAAACCTTAGGGATGTTTTGTGATAATAAGCCTTAGGGAAATGTAAATTATGCGTCCAAAATAGTCTTGACTGCTACCAATCCAAGCAATGATATCCAGTTGTATGCAATGTCGACAGAGTGAAGACGTTGTTTGGGCTGGTCCTGGTCCATAGTTTAAGTGCTCACACATTGACCATTTCCAAGTGCAAAGTTGGAATCATGAATTTTTTAATGAGTGGGATAGCGAAAGTCATTAGCTTAAAATCTAATGACTAATTTTTTTTGGGTACTTATTGTTTCTATAGTTTTTCTAGAAATAAAAGTATACATTGGGATAAAATAGTAAAAGGTAGAGAGTTAAAATCATGCATTTTTATTAAGATATTATATTTCTTAATTGAGCAAACAAATGATATAACATGATTATAGGCCTACAAAATTGAGTGGTCAATAAGTTATAAGTCTACATTTGGGTGGGTTATACTAAGCTTTTATAGGATGAATAACATTACAATACATGTAATATATTTTAGTTTTAAAAAAGACTACCTAGGCTAGAGCCCATGGTAGCCCTCTACCTAGTTCAGCCAATGTGTCTAATTTGCACTGGTTTTTTTCTTTTTGTCTTCAATCTAATATGACTTTTACTAGTTAAAAGGAAAAAAAAAAGGTGAAATTTGTAAAGGTAGAAAATCAGATAGGCACTCAAAGACACTTGGGGCCTCTTTTTGCAAACAACATGGCGTAAATTGAGCCACATGTTGAACAAAAGAACAAGTCTATGAAGTAGCTAACGGATCTAATTAAGTGAAAAATGATCTTGACTCGTAGATCAATGATCTCAAGTTTGAACTCTCATAATACCTTGGTATTGTGTATGATAAACTTTTCTCTCTTCTAATTTAAAGTATCGCTTACGTATTTTTTTTTAAAAAAATTATGAGGTAAATTGCCAATATCGATATCGTTTGACCTCATATTATTCTTATTCTTGTTATAAAATATTACGTTAAAATCTAGTGTCGTCTTTGTGCATCATGTTGACTATAATGAATCCTATAAGATAATGTATTGGGGAGAAAATATTGCATTACCTACTAACTCTCTATGCTTAATTTGTAAGTTAGCTGCATTTTCTCAACTATTTTCATATCACTTCTTGATATTTTTCCCGCAGCCTAAAGTCTTCTTAGAGCATCCACAGTGAGGTGGTGTATATGGGGGTGTATGTTAAATATACACCCCGAGTCACCGGAATCGTCTCCAATGGTAAGATGTAAATGGATGTAAATATACATCACCACCATGGGGATGTAAAATAAAATGTATATTTACATCCATTTTTACATCCTTTGCAGGCGGAACCCACCCGAGAAAAGTGAAGAAAAATGAAGAAAAGTCAACATAAAAGGCTGGGACCCACGGCTACACCCCCGAATTTACACCCCCCACTGGAGCAAAAAACATATTTACACCCCTCGGAGGTGTAAAGGGGATGTAAAAGTGGCTTTACACCCCCGAATTTACACCCCCCACTGTGGATGCTCTTATAATTTTATAGGTATCTGTCACGTTATTGTCATTCATTATTATTACAAGTGCATGCATTCGTACGTTGGGTTAAATGGAAAGACATCTTATCTTCGATGCATGATCTAGATTCTAAAGCATACGCAAATAATTCACAAAGATTATCTTGAGTTTTTTTTATATAAAACTTTCTCGTTTATAAACTTTGAACTAGAAACCTCTTTCAACAAAATAGAAAATAGAGTGTTGTTACGAAAAATTGTTATACATTCAAGATGAGTGTGTATTGTATGAGTCCCACGTGAATTCTAAGGAGCGAACCATACCCTAACATGTTCAAATTATATGAATTATTATCTTTATGAATAACGAAAAATGTTTTCTACGTAAATAAAAAAACAAAATTGACATACTGACATAGTGTTACAAAATTCAATTATTTTGTATAATTATTATTATTAACTTTAAATTCGATACTGCTTTTGTAAGGGCTTTTCATCTCTTATTTGTGAGAGTTTTATTGAAATTATTATGACTTGGTTTTTTCAAGCTTGTTCTTTTTTTGATTATTATGAGTTTGCAATCTTAGTTTGGATGCCTATGCCAAAGTTTCTTCAATCCTGTGTGATCATTAGTGGAGGCGCACTAGATATTGTGTTAATTTTGATATTAAACCGCTCCATTATTATAATGGCCCTTTGTAGTTAGTGGCTTTTTTGACTGAATTATGAATGCAATCCTAAAATTTATATATATTAAAAATAAAAATAAATAAAAAGACTATATGTGTTATAATTGAAATGAATTTGTCACATCAAATTGAGATATTACCATTATGCTTGCCGTACACAAAAGAAAAAGAAAATTCCTATTTCAATTTCTCCTAAAACAACACGGCAGCAAACCCGCGAATCGAAATCTCTGCCTAATACTATTAAATTGTCCTCACAAAATCGTGAAAAGGGCCCCGCACAGAAACAGGAGAGAAATATCACAGAAATGAGATGCACAACACAAGTTGAATCAGAGAGAGCCCCACATCAGATAAAATTTATATAAATAAAAAAAAGAAAGGGAAAAGCTGTACGGCTACTACTGTAAACAGCGGATAACTAGGAGGACCACAGCACCAGAATCTCCCGTCAACGCTTAGCCCTTTCCTTTTTGCTTTTCTTTTTCGTTTTGCCCAAAACGCAAACCTTCAATTACTTCCAAGTATTTTATTTAATTAATTTTCGAAACTACCAATTTTTATTTTTTTTACTCTTTTTTCTTCTTTCTATTTTATGGCACATTTAACATGGCATGATACAAAGTTTTTTGAGCATATCCAAATCTTAGTGGAAATTAATTCGAATTATCTCATCTTTTTAGCTTTGATCTTGTGTTTATATCAAAATTAAGTAGTTGTGAACATAAGCACTTTATGATCACGAATCGATACAATGTGTTCGACCCTAATAAAAACACAACGAATCCGCCATGTCACAATACACCTTTTACTAATCTTTTATTATAGCCGATTTATTTTTTATTTTATAAAAAATGGGATAATTTTTTATTAAATTAATAAAAATAACAATACAAAGGATATAGACTGTAAAGGGATTTTTCCCAAGTGGCCTGAGTTGAAAGATTGAAACGACTCTCGAAAATAACTTTTCAAAAACCCCTCTCAATCAGCGACAAACCATAGAAGCAAAATACATGTAGCACACCACCAATTCAAAATATTTTTTTAAAAACAAAACTCAATTATATCTTTTTCCAACCTATTCTCTTTCTTCTACCAAACAACCCACTCAGGTCAAAATATATATATTTTTTCTTCTTTTGGTATTATGGATGGATGCCAAAGCTCAAACCCCAATTCAATTCCTAGGTTGAATATGCACTGGGCTTATCCAAAAAGAAAAGAAAAAAACTTCTTAACACTCATAGCTAATGAAGTTTTTTGTTTCACTCATAATTAGGTGTATTTTATTTTTTGTTATAAATGATTTACTTATATCATTGAATTTTTTTATCATTTTAATAGGTTTATACGTTAGGTAAATTTAGCCTCCGAATTCGTCCCTGCTCTCAACCGACTCAAGTAGGTAACAATATTGGAAATCTTGGAATAGAAAAAAGAATTTTCTTAGCTTGAACAAAACAAGAGGTTGTTAGGCGAAGTATAAAAGGTTAAACGTGTAGAAGATGGACCATATTATGCTTGGCGATTATGATGCATATTCGAACGACGGCTATATGATAATGTGGACCTAAAGAAATTCCAAAAACTCCATCCCCACATGTTTAAAGATGCCGACTTGACTTTTTGTTTGCTCACTATAAATAAATAAAAAAGATGTTCTTTTTTTTACTAATTAGATAGTTTCAATGTGAATTTTATATCACCATCAAGTGAGTCTGCAAAACAAGCAAAAGATCCAAGTCCCTGGTTTACAAAGTTTAGCTGCTAATTTTTAGCTTTAAAAAACTTTCATTGACTTTGCAAGAAATTAAATAAAAAATAATTATTTTTTGCATGAAAATGTATTTTTATATGACATTTCTTTTAATGAAATCTGTCAATGGAAATTGATGACCTGCCAAATGCAAAATAGTTGGTGTAGAAATCTGATATGAATAATCAAATCAATCCATCCGCCATTGACAGAAAAAGAGAAGCAAAAATATTGAAAAAGGAAAAAGCAGCACCCTCCATGAAAGGAAAAAGATGCTCTGTGCTGTATTTTTCTGTTCAATTGGGTTGTTGGTCGTCTAAAGTACAAACTAAAATCTAAATTCAGAGACCATAAAAAGGAAAAAAGTAAATTAAATAAAATTAAATAATAAAAAAACCATTTGTATCGAAAATGGTTCTGTTCACTCCATCATCAATGATCATCATTCACATCATCCTGCTAAAACCAAGCATTCTCAGTCACTTTCTTTCCCTTTTTTTCTCTCTTCACTTTTTCCCGGAAAATCAGCCTAGGAAATCAAAGCCTCTATGCTGGCCTTCTTTGGTGTTCTGCAAACAGGGCAACAATCAAGAACCGCCTCACAAGCTTTGCATGAACAAAGGTGTCTGCAAGGAAGGAACAGGACACACGAACTCCGAGAATTACAGCTTTTGCAAACCTTCATCTTCATCCTTATCTGTTCATAATCAACACCATCACTCTCTGCTTCTTCTTCTTCTCTGTTATCACAGCAAGACTCTGCATCGTCTGCCCCATTAATGAGACAACACGAGACTCTCTCTCTATACTGTTCTAGAGTGTTGTTTAAGGACACAACCATGGCTTCGTTTTCTTGTGCCACTCTCTGCCATGCTTGGTTTTCAGCCTCTAATTTTCTCAAGAAATCTTCAAGCTCCATTCTTCTCCTGTTTGCTTGTGTTATTTCATCATCCTTTTGCTTTAATAGTACTTGGGTTGTAGACTCTATTTTCTTCAACAGCATTGCAAGCTGCTGTTTTCTCTGTTCTTGAAGTACCAATCTCAATCTCTCGTTCTGTTTTTCAAAAACAAAAACAAAAACATGGGAATTGAGTACAAATCCAAAACCATGAAAGCAAAAGCAATTTCAAGTAAATTGGATGAAACCCAAGTCATATAATCACAAATTGTACTTAAAAACTGGTTTCTAACCTGTAATCTGATGTACTGATCAATCTCTTGTCTCTGCTTGGCAGCCTGAGCTTCCATAGTCTGAGAACAGGAGGCCATAATGCTGCTAAAAGTATTGTTGTTTTCCAAAGTGGGAACCAGAAAACTGGTATCAAAGCAAAGATTTTGATTTATCTGCTGCTGGTTTTGTACTTGTTGTTGCTGTTGTTGCTGTTGTTGTTGTTGAAGTTGGTGTTTCTGTTGAACATTGAAACAGAAGTGACTGAACCCACCACCACCACCACCACCATAACCATTGTCTACCATCCAATCCTGTGAGCCGCACAATGGAAACCCAAGATTCTCTGAACACATCTGAGCTTCAATGGCCATCTAAATCAACCAACCCAAAAGATCAAAACTTGAAACAAACCCTTCTCTTCAGATCTCTCACGCTTTCTTCTCAACCAGTTCTTGGACCCAAAAAACCAAAACCAAAACCAAAGCCAAAACTAGTACTCTTGATAGAGGAATATGTTCACAAAGGTGGTGGACAAGAAGTGGGGAGCATATATATAATATGTGAAGGAAAGAAAGGAACCCGAAACATAAAAAAATGTTTTAATTAATGAGGGAGTGTAGAAAATTGGGGAATGAATAAATAAAGTAACAGGAAACTTGGAAAAGGGTAAGGAGATGTGGCCTAGGATGCTTAGTTTCTGCCTGTCTCTTTAAAAACTGCCTTTTTCTGCCTCTTTTCTCTCTCTTTGTGGATGGATGGTGTTTTGTATATATTAGCATTAAAAAGAGAGAGATGTATGGGACGCGGTAAGCAACAACGTACACATGCAGATTTTGTGACTAAACTATCGGGTCAGAGATTTCAGAGGAAGCGTTTGTTTTTGAATAGAAAGAGAAAGGGAGAGAGAGAGAGAGAGAGAGAGAAGAATTCAATTCCAAGTGGGTGAGAGTGAGAGGGGCCTCTCTGTTCTCTCTTGTGAATGAGTCAGTTTTCATATTTATATCTCAGAAAAAAGATGAGAGAGAAGAAGAGAGAGAGAATTATTAGTGATTTTTGTCAGGTTGGTCATCTGGAAAGGCCGAGACTAGCCAGAATAGGATCCTTTTATTTCTCTCCTATTTCTATACAATTTTCCCTTTTTTTTTAATCTTGGAAATGTATATTTATAATTTTTACTTATTTTGGGCACCTTTTGTAATCTTAATCAGGAACATTGCATCTCAGAATGTGGTGTGATCATGCTAATCTGTTGAAGTATTATAACCCAAGTTTTGGAAAACATGCTTAAGATTTTTCTGGAAATTTGTATATCAATAAGGCAGTATTATCTTCTTCCTTATAAGATAATTGACAGAAAAATGTGTGGTGTGATCTCTTAATCTGTTTTGCGTTTCAATGCAAAAATTACTGGGAAAGTCCTGCCCGTTAATTTTTCTAGGTGTTGCAGGATTAAATGTAGGAGATCTTTTTGCAACTAAGTCTTTTATTTATTTATTTATAGTAAAATGGATTTGTTTTGAACCAATTCAATGTGTCAAAAAATACCTAAAATATTGTAGGCAGGCGTATTAATCAGTTTGTTTGATTTCCGGGTATTAGGATATCTTCAAGACATTGTTTTATCATGATGATGTCGTTAACTTGTTGACTTCTTATTCAATTGGTTTATTATCGATTCATCGAACTATGACTGTAAGAGGGCAAACTTTATTAAGAAATAGAACTAAAGCCGGCTAGAAATCCCCTAACCAATAATCGGATTGAACCTCTAAACAATATTGATTATTATGTCACAATTTCCTTTCAAATCCTCAAAATTTATCATCATAGATCTGTGTTTCACATGGTTTCTTGTAGTGAAACAGGGCAGGGATTTTTTATTTTTATTTTTCCTTTTCCTTTTGCTGCTAGGAAAGTACACCAAACGTAGGAGTTAAGGAAGTAATTTAATTGTATATGACCTTTTGAACATCCCTACAAGGCAGTGCATAATATTTAGTAAATCTATGAATTGTTGTGACTTACCTAATGAAAACACACTTATTGCGTTAATGGGTCTCATAAAAATATTAACAAAAGTTTATTTTGAGTAGGAATCTGACGTGCACACCAACTCAAAGATCAACTTACTTTCATACCATATCAATTAATTACTATCAAGGAAAACGAGATGCTATACTAGAAGCTAGCACAGATTATTAATGTAGAGATTCCAGCTAATATCCCTTGTAATAACAGTCTTAATATTCGGGAAGAGGTTTCCTTTAACCATATGTTTCGGGAAGCTAACTTCACAACTGATGCTATTGCAAGTTTAGGTCATGGTCTTGCTCCGCCCCATCTATGGGAGCATGAATTATCTCTGAGTTGTTCTATTCTGTTTTATTTTGACTTAGTTGGGCCTACATGCTCTCGTGGTTTCCGGTTGTAGTTGTTTTCCTATATTGTGATCCCATAACTTATCAATTTTGATTTTTCGATGGGAAGTCTATCAAGGAAGTGACTCATAATCTTCCACCCCTGAAAGTGACAATAGAGAAAAAAAGAAGGGAAAACTCGACTCAAAATTAATATTTCTGTCAGCTGCCATATCAAACTATTGTTTTGTTTATCTCTCTTGAATATTGGACCGCTATTTACCTAGGAAATGATCTCTATTTCCTTCGCCTCTGTAGATAGAGTTATCCCACTAAACTCCAAATACCAATTTATTCAGTCATTGAAAATTGAAAAAAGCAAAAGAAAAAGAAAGAGAAAAGGTTAAATTGTTGTTTTTTTGCTGCAGAAAATTTACAGTTTGGCGAGGAGCCATGTGGTGATGAGCCTTTAGGTTAGGACCCCATATGGGGGCATGAGGGCTTTGTGACACTTTGGTGGTGACTCTTTCTGCAATGAATATGTGCAGTCCATGTGAACCCATCCACCACTTCATTGACTGCCTAGTTTTCTATTATTATTGCATTGAAGGATCTGATGAGTCTCTGCAGTCTCTGAGCCGTGAAATGTGCAAAAATCCAAAACCCCACTTCTCATCATCTCATCTCTCTCATAGAATTCGATGCAAAAGTCTCTTCTGCAGCTTCCCAACTGCTTCTCTTTGTTTTGTAGCTTTCGGCAAAGTGATATGGACGCTCTACATGTACTGCCTCTCTCTTCCTTTCCCTAATTGGTGCCCATCTCCCCCTACCCATAAGTCTTCGCAATCGTATAACTCACAAAGTCATTTGTAAGGAAAAAGAATTTCAAATTCAATCCCGTTTATTCTTTTCAAATTTATGTAAGACTTGTGGTTGTCGTGTAACATAATGTCAGAATAGTTCAGTTAAAAGATAAACATAACCCTATATCAGAAATAGGTGATTCACTTAATAGAATCAAAATTGAATTAAATTTAACTTATAATGAATCCGGATTGTATAAGTTGGGAACAATGTTCTACAATTCTAAAAAAAAATTCTTTATTTTTTTTGGGTATCAAATACATTCAATAATTTGTCACAAAATGGGTGGTTTGATTTATGGTTGGAAGGCTCGTACCTCATGACCCACCAAAGAAGGGTGTGATATGGAAGGCTCTGTCTTGACATGCCTCAAATTATGACTTGAAGAATAGGTAGACCCACTTTTGATGGGGGCATTAACAATTTAACATTATCTTATGGGTCCAATGCTGCTAGCCATAGCCAAGTGGTTTTGTCTGGATTCACCTGGGTAACCTAGTAAGGTCATGCATTCATCCATTCACAAGTTCACAACGGCATCATTTCATTTGTCCCTTCTCATGCGGCAGCCATATTTTTTGTATTCTATGTACCTATAGAAAAAAAGAATGCACGAAAAATTCAATAATTTCAACTTTCGAGTTGTTTTTCTATGGGTACACGCGTATAATTATTAGTCAATATTAAGACATCTGGAGATTTGATCGATGTTTTGGACTTTTGAATTATTATAATGGTGAGGTTGGAACCAACAACACCTAGTGCCTGGTGACATCCACCATTCAAACGTAAATATTATTATCAAGTAAATTAATGGTCATTCTAGTTGAAATTAATCTCATGAATGACATGAGGGGTGGTAATCCTTTTACTTTTTCCCTTTCAACAACCGTGATGGAATACAATAGTAAAAAAATTAACATGAAACGAGATGCTGATTTAAACTTCGAATTATACATCTAATTTGAAAGTGATCACATACATCGTATATTCTCACAAACAGAGTTGCGTTGAACGGTTTCTGATCCTTAATGCATGTAAAACCCACTATACATCAACGGTCAGAATTAATTTATCAAGACTTATACATCGCTCTCTCTTGTTCCTTCTGTAATTAGTTAAAGATTATGTTTGTATTGTTGGGAAAAGGGCCCCAAGTTTCTTCCATGTTGCTCCCCTCATAAAGGGAAAATAAATAGTTGATAATTGTGATCATGTCAGGTTTGATTTCACATATTCTTACCTTGGAGACCGACACACGCAAGTCATGTGAAGTTTCTTTACAGCCAGTTTCTCCCAATGTTCTCTCTTCAAACTTCAAAATTTTGGTCGCGTCTGTCGACCAAAATCACAATTTTATAACAAATATATATATATTATGCAGAAAGAAAAATGAAAAAAAGAAGTTATGATTAAAGTAACATAGCTAGCTAGCTTTTTGGGTGCTTACTTCTCTCGTGCATCTTCCAGACTTTGACTGCATGATTTTGTTTTCATTTCAGTCACACTGTCTCAGTCATGCATGCATAATATTATATTTTTGTACTTTTTTTCTTCTTTTTGCTTGCCTTTAATTGATTTGGAGCAAAATCAACACGTCTTCGACTCTACTTTTCCTAACTTTGACGTGTAACGTATAGCATGATGTTCTTGTTTGTTTTCAATCCAATTTCTGTTTTTTCTTTTCTGAGATCTAGTTTTTCTAAATATGTGTGTGAATTTGACCATAACAAGACTAGTTTCTTACATTGTTTTCAAAGTTAGAGAAATTCTATTAATAATAGGAAGGATCCAGGAAAACCACACTGTTTACTTCAATACGTTATTCTTGAATGTTCATCATTTATAACAACATAATATCGTACAAAGTTACGGTAATATAAAACCTTTTCTTAAATTAAAAAAATATTCATTATCATCCTATCCTTTGTCCAAATCGTGAAGGTTTTGATCATGTGAATCTTTATTTCCAATTCCTTATCGTTATATGCAATATCTTCTTGTTCAATATTTTAATGTTTTAAAGTTTCATTATCACTAACAAGTGTCATTCTCAACGTTTTCCTATTTCATCTATCAATTTTGTTTTTTTGTTTTATCTTAATCATTCGCGTATATTATCTATCTAAACATTCTCATGTAGATGTATTGCTCATATTTTTGTTTAATTTTAACTCATTTCTTACCCTCCTTTATTTTATTTTATAGCCACAATAATTTAATTAAACGGGCATTACAA